CCAGGAATCTTGGGGTGATGGTTTGCTCCTCCTTGTGTGATGTTGGTGGAGTCATCGTCCCATTCATTGTCTACAGACTGGTGGAAGTCTGGCATGATCTGCCTCTGATCGTCTTCAGTAAGTGCCACCTTACCTCCTTACTGGCCACTCCCAGGGTGCAGCAAAGGGGCCTGAGTTTCAAAGGGAGGGAAAAGCCACTGAGGCAGCTGCTGCAAGTTCAGTAGGAGTCCCTTGCTGTCTGTAAAGCCATAGCCTTCAGTTTAAGATAACCTGGAGCTTGTTTATGTGTTCACATCTCCTTTGCTCTTATTATTTTGCCTTGAGTTTTAAAGGAAGTTAGAGGTGAATGCATGTTTGACAGATGGCAAAGAGCTGAGAAAAATTTTGATGAGATTAATATTTGATGGATTCAAAACTGATGAATTGTTGCTCTTCTGTGAGATGCATTATCTCAGTCCAGGAGTCAAACCCCAGAATTTCACATAGTTAACTATTTAATGGAGTACAAGTGCGGCTGTTACGCTTCAGCTTTTCTGACAGTCTGTTAACTGTCTGCTCTCCAGCTATTTGGAAAGTAGTAAGTAAATAAATGCAAGATAAATCTTTGCATACTAGTGACCTGAACTCTCAGATCAGGGTCTGCAACACTTTTCTGAATCCTTAGGTCAGCACATTATATATAGAAAATGTCTTGAAAGGCAATTTGCAGTTTTTAACAGACAGGACACCTAGGAGGGTGCTTAGTAAATTTAAAATACATATCAGTGGAGAAGTTAATCATATTGTTTCGGATATAATACATTCTGTATGTATTTTCTAATCTTATGTGAACAGCATAAAAATAGAATGCATTTCTTGTCATACTTTTGGACTAGAAAGGGTCCCTTCTAAGAAAAGGAAGGATTGTCTGTCTAGTCTGGGGTGCCCTACTTTGGAGCATAACTCACAACAGAACTTGGCTCGTTGCTGTCTCCATGTGGCAGCCACATCTTCCAGAAGTGCCAGAGCAGTTTTGTATATAGAGACTTGAAGGGCACAACTTGTATAAAGAACAAAATAAAAATGCCATTTACAAGTCTTTTATGTTAGGCAGTAGAAAGTTGTGTGTACACTAGAAATTTGTGCTTACAAGCTCTTTGTGCCTCTGTTTGATTTGAAGCTGTTTTTGGTTTGATTGCGGGTGGATTGGTGTTGCTTCTGCCTGAAACTAAAGGAAGAGTTTTGCCTGAGACTGTGGAGGATGTTGAAAATCTTCACAGGTGAGTCATGATGATAAACTCGTAGCAGCTTTCACTTGAAATTGTGCAAAATCCCTAACCAGAACTAGTTGGGGAAGCCCAGAGGATACTTGGCTGCTGCCTTTGTTTCCAAGAAGTTGCTAATCAATTTCCAGGCTCTCACTGACAGATTTTGGACTCCTTATACCACTTGTCTACCTAGGCATCTGAAAATAAGCAGCCTAGGCCTTTACTGACCTGTGAATAACTGCACTAGTCTCTCAAATGTTCTGCTACACCATTCTAAATGTTTGTGTTTAAAAAAAACATAGCAGTGAAACAGAAAAAGGGCAGTCTTGATAACAGCTTCACATGTGGTGCATGAAGCACCAGTATCTACTGAGGAGCCAGAGCAAACCTAGAGGATTAGATGCTCATTGTCTTGGGGCAGAGATAGAGCAGGTGAAGAACTTGAAGTAAGGTGCTCACTGAACACCTTAATTCCTGGTTGCTGTTCACCTCTTGTTATTCTTGCAGGCAAAGTGCTCCAAAGACCAAAAAAATCTATCTCCACGTCCAAACATCAGAAGTAACACGTGGCTGAAGAAGACATGTCTTGCTGGGCAGTCTGCTTTAGGGCAGTAGCATGGAAGGGCAAATTGGAATAAATACTCTCTCAAAAGTCTTGCCTTTTTTTTTTCTTCTCCATATCCTTTATTTACAATGTTTAGGGTTTTCTGATGAGATTGTCCCTATTACTGCACAGATGCTTCCCTCTCTGTACACTAAGACAAATACATTTTAAGGCTGGGAAATTCTTGTACCAGCTGTGTGGACTTCAACATGGGGAGAGATCTTAACTTGGGCATGGTGGGATTCATCCCAACAAATCTTTGCAAGCCTCCATGAAGTCTAACTTTGTTGGTCTTTCTTATGAAGGGGCAGCATAATATAACAGAGATTTATCTCTGTTGTGGAATCAAGGTGACTGCAAACCTGGTCCAATTGTGTTACAACTTACAACTGATTTGCACAGACTTCTCCCTCCCTCATTTTAGTGGCTATTCACAGGGATGGATACTCACAAGGATGGGCATGTGGCAACTCCAGAACATGAAAAGGAGTGTACAGGAGCAAGACACATAACTCTTCATGAGGTAATAGCATTGTTCAGTTTTCAGTGTGTAACCACTAAATTTTCTTGTTTTGTTAGATATAGTTGTCATAGTGGATAATGTATACATTTTTTTTTTCAAATTTTTTTTTACAAAAGTATTTTCCTAAGCCTCCATAGCATTATAAATGTGTTGCACAGGGACATGCCTTTGGAGTGTGCTGGGCTTAGTCTTGGGGACCTGCAGGACTCTGACGGGGGTCCTGTGCCTCAGGGAGCATCAGGGACAGCACTGGATCTGCCAGAACATATCCAGCACCTTTCACAAATTTCCTAGTCCATCCCAGCGAGCAGCTGTAAGAGACTTGTGGCTGCAGAACAAAACAGGCACAATGGTACTGTGGCTCCCCTTCACTGTTTGTGTTGCTGGTCCTTATTGTTGCAAAATGTGGAATATATAAACATTTTCTTCAGAAAGGACATTCTTTGATATTCAATCGTGGTATACTTTCAAGCCTAGTCTTCAAGAAAGGAGATTTAATCTGTGAAACAGCAGCTAATAAGCAAGCTCTAAGTGATGTCCAGGTGTTAGAAAGACAAATTTCTTGTTGGTTGAATTGCCTTATTAAGGTTTAGGGCTGAACATGTTTCAATGATCTCAGACCTAGGGGCAGGTTAACAAAGCTTGGGAAGAAGGATGTTCCACTGATAGTGGACACGAAGAACACAGAATTTACAGGTCACAAAAACATTTGGCAGAACTCCCAAGATAAGGAAGAAACTAATAAAGACAAATCAGCAACTGTGTTGAATCATCTCCAACTGGGGAAAAGGTAATTCTGGCAGGGTGAATTGTGACCATTGACTCAAAAAACCCAAAAGACTGACCATTTGGACTAATTAGCATGAGAAGCAAGAGAATCATTAACCAATAGAAGACAGAATACTAAGTAATAAGAGAACTTGGTAACTTGTAGCCAATGAATATTATTGCCTTTGTTTGCGAAAATGTAGAAATAGTGAAGTTTCAGTAGTCATTGTGCTGGCTTTGTGCATTTGCCACCCAGCACCCCTTTCTGTGCAGAAGTGAAAATAATTACCTTGACTCTGCTTGTGGATTGGCCTCTTGCACACCGGGTGAAAGAACCTATTTTGGGACAACACTATCACTGCTGAGAAACACTGATTTCAGTAAGGATACTGTGAGCAGGGTACAAAATACCTCTATTCTTTGATAATCACCTGCAGGGAGAGAGCTCCCTATGGAGCAAAGCACTGATGAACTCTAACAGGCAGGGTAAAATTTCCCCAGGATTGCTTCCCAGTGTGGCAGTATGGTGACCTTGCCCTTGCTTTCAACCGACCAGAGCCTCAGTTAATGTTCAGTGTTGCTGTGAGGGCCTCAAAGGCAAGGAAGCATGTTGTCCAGCAAGGCAGAGCCATGACAAGGTTGTCCTGAGAAGAGCAGTGACAGATAGGAATGACATGACTTTGACTTTGGCCCAGGCAATTGCAAAACTAGTATTTGCTTCAGAGTCAGAGGGGGAACAAGCTGGTCCTGAGAGGGACAAGAGCAAGAGTGGGGATGTAATTGTGTGTCTTGTAGAGCTGCTGTCCTGCTGCAGTTGCAGAGATGCCTCTGCTCTGCAGCAGAAGAAAACTGTCAGAACAGCTGCCTTACTGTTCATTGATTCAAAACCTGCGGAAAACGCTGCAGAAAGAAAATGAGGGAGGCAGCAACAAGTCAAGCAAAGGAAATACTGAGATGAATAAATGAGTAACAACAGAAGCTGACTCTCAAGACCCTCACCCATCACGCTGGTATTTATTTCCATAAGCAGTTCTAATGTCACAGAAGGAGCTACAGACATGGCAGGTTGTGGTGTGCTTTGCAGTTACCTACTAATGGCATTTGCTTCTGGTGGCACCTTAATGAGCAAAAGGGCAAATGTACTTAATCGATTTCCTTACTGGTGACATTTGTCTATTCATGGCTTGCTTCCTGGAGTTGGGAAGTCAAAGAAACATGTAAAATCTAGTCTAGCTACACATAGTTGCTTTCAAAAGGTGAAGCAGCTTTGTGTCCTGTGTAGGGGATAGGAGTGGATCTCCTCCACGGTATGAGACAAGTTCACATCCTGCCTCAGACAAATGAGTTTGCCAGGTTCCTTTCCCCTTGATAGCAGCTGAAGCTTCTCTATTCCTGGGGCTCCTGGAGCATAACCAACACAGTGCCAGGGCTGACCCTGGGGCTTGGGAAGGAGCACTCAGGGCCCACTACTGTCTGACTCTGGCAACCCAGGGAGCTCATGTGCCACCCTGACAGGGTAGGGTGGCAAAGCAAAGGGTTCAAAGAGGCTGGAGAAGGTCCCTGTCCCCCTCTTCTCTGTTCATTTTCAGTAGAAGTCTCTTTCTGCTCTTCCCTTTTTTCATCAACATTTTCCATCTCAATTGAAGCTCAGGAGACTCCCTTGTCTTGTGTTTTCACCTCATTGCTCAATTTTGGTTAATGACTTAGCCAGTGAGTTCAAGAATGCTCTGATATGGCTCTTCAGACCATCTTTCAAAGCTGCAACAGCTTTTTAATGGAGAACTTGTTAGCTGTGGTCTTTACATATTTTCTCATCAACCTTGGCTGACTTTTGAGCTCTTCTTGAAGAGGGTGTTGTACATCCCTGTTATTTGTCATTCCCTGTGTCACTGTGACTCACTGATAGTCAGAAATAAATGGTTTTCAAAAGAAACAAGCTTACTAGAACACTGGAGAGGCATTTGTTTCCTAGCTGACAGAGATATATATTCAGTTAGAAGTATGAATTATAGAAGCAATGAAATTATTCAATACCAACTAACAAAAATAGCATGATGATAAACAACAGCCAAAATAAATGTCTTTTCATGTCTACAATAATATCAGCAGATCCCATCACTCAAACTTCCTCCTCCCATGAGCCTGATATACAGACACAAAGTCTAGCCCAAGAGAGCTCCATCAGACCACATTTGAGGCCTTTGTGTTTGTTTTTACAGCATACTCCAATTACAGTATTTTGTATTGCTCTTGGGTGCTTGCAGTGCAGGATCACAGTGAACTGAGGACAGGGTGGCAAGAGCAGAGTGAAGACTCCTCGACACTATGACGTGTGTGCTTTATCTTATCAGCAATGGTATCCTACTCCCTCATGTATTTTAGTACTTTTACTTCACTATAAGCCTTGGTATAAAGATCCTTCAGTATTTTGACAGAGATAGAGCAAAGAATATTTAGGAAGGAGTAATTTATTCTCTTTCTGTATCTGAGAGAAACTGTCCTGTTTTGAAACTGATTTGTGGCCATCTGGATATTGTTAAAATTAATGTGAAACAAATTTATCACAAAGATGAGCAAATAGTTCTTGATGCACCAGTTAAAATTTCATGTTGAACTCTGAGCTTGTATTGCAATTTGCACCTGTGAAAGAAAACAAAATCTCTTCACTTGTGAATGTGTAAATTCCTCATGGAGGGCTGTAAAAGTGAAGCAACAGCATGGCATTTCTGTGGATTCCTGGGTCACAATTGCCTTTGAAAGCAGAGCCTGAGGAACCACCATCCACCCCTTTGTAAGCGACACAGGCCTAAAACAAGCATTCACAAACAACTGGAAGAGGTACAGCTTCCAGGAGTCCTCACACACTTGATTAAACTGCAACAGCAACCACAGTTTAGAAGTACAAGAACATTCCCTACAAACACTAGTTGTTTGAGGAGGAAGGAAACAAACAACATCAGCTAGAAAACAGGCTCTGGAAAAGAAACCCTCTAACCTCTTAAACTGACATCTGCAATACATCTTGTCTGGATTTTCCCAAACCTTGTGAAAAAGTTACACCCTGGAAAACAATTGCATAATGACACATATGTAGAGTAAGAAAGGGAGAGAAACTCTGAAAGAACAAATTAAAAAGTTCAGTAAAATCTCACCCTCTCATCCCCACCCATTTGCTTGGAGCATCGTCTCATTCCCAGACACCAAGCCCAGTCTCCAGTCATGTATTGCTTTGCTGTATAAAAGTAGTGCCAGGTGTGAGAGATGGAGGTGCTGCCATGAGCCCTGCTGGAGCAGAACCAAGAGATGCCTGTCCCTCACCTCATTAACACTGGCAATAGGTCCAGGATTTGATGCCTTTTCTCTGCAGTGAATGGGTACTTGGGAACTTACTTTTGATTTACAATTAACAGGTTACAAGGAATTTGCACCCAGGAATGGGAGGAGGGAAAACTGGTAATAACTTCTCTACTGCTGGAAATATTCACTCAAGTCTAATTAGACTTCAGCCCGGAAAGAGGTGTGAATGACTTTTGCTGTTTATTTAGACTCTTTCTAACCCAGACAAGTTTGCTGGGGCCATACCAAACAGCTCAGCTCAATTTCCCTGGTGTGGACAGCTGGAGTGCTCTTTTCTGTCCCAGCTCAGCTGTCCCAAGGGAAAATGAAATGGAGCTGCTTTGTAAGTGATGATAGTGAAGCAAGGAAATAAGAATTCCCTGCCCAAGAAAGCCCTGAAGTACCCAGCAT